CAATGAGCTACAGTTTCTGAAACCACAGGAGGAGTTTGTTCGATCCTGTAACGTCGCCGTAACTCAGAACTGACTCCCTGACTGAGAATTTGCTTTGGTTTGTCATCGGGCAACCAAACTATGCAGTGCAGCTATTCCTCAACATTGAACAATAAGCTCTCAGATACATTGTCTAAATGTATTTTTCTAAACATAGAAAAACCATGTACCAATCTTCCCACAATACTATTCGAAAAAACACACAGAGGGCACCGTCAAGTCAGTCCGGACACGCGGCAACCCTTTCGGACAGAGCAGAACTGCCCAGTAGGGTCTGTAAGTCTAAATCTTTGTGGAAGCAGACTGACAAATCTTTCTCCCCCCAAGCAGGGGGTGAGTTCGAATCGCTGACCTTTGGGTCAGCAATCCTGCTATCGTCATGGCAACCGCCCTGCAAAACCAAAGGAACAACAAGCAGCCAGGCTGTCTGCCCCACCAGGACTCCCGGACTGGAGAACAGCTGCCGCTGAGCCGACTCGGACTCCCAGTGACCCGCAGAGCGTTTCCAGAGTGGTCTTTCCCGACGCCGAGAGCCCCATCCTTCCGCCTAGAGTGGGAGTGGGTTTCAACCACCGCCCCGTAGTCAGCGGTCTAACGCCTATCCCAAAGTGCCCCCCGGGCTCCCTGACCACAGATGATTCACCACAAACCATGGCCCACATCGCCTTGCTCCGAGGGAGAGCTGCAGCGAGAAAGCTCTGCTTTCTGGGGAAACTGTTTCTCGTGTTTGGGTTTTGTTTTTCCCAGACAACGGGATCACTCCTGTCTTCTGACTGTTCTTGGACCCTTGTGAAGTGCTGTAACTTAGGGGCTGACAATTGTAGCTACCCCAGCCAGAGTCTCTAGGGTGGGAATCTCCCTATGTCCATTGAGCAGCTTTTGTTCTTTAGGTTGGCACTTGTATGTGGGCCTCATGTGTTGCCTAGGATTCTTTATGGAATAGAGGGGTTATATAAAAAATAACAGGACAGCCTTGAACTTGGAAGCAAATGGAGATCTAGAGGCCAGACCTGCCCTTTTCGCAGCAGCTGGTGGCCACATCTACCTTTTTAATCTTTAACTCTCACCTGTAACAACCTCAATGGGGACCAAAGCCCTCAAGCTGCCTTAAGTCCTGAAGGTTGGTAATGACAGCAGTCAGACCTCCTCAGTGCTCAGGAGGAGGCTGTTTTCACTAGTTCACGTGCACCTTTTATGTGACCTCTGACTTCTGAAGGACAAAACCCATCCCTACTTCAGCCCTTATCTGCTTGCATCTGCTCCATGCATACTTCCCAATTGTCACGTAATACGTTTGAGTTACTTAATTGTGCCAACCTGGCCGATAATCACATGTGGGGCTAATTGAAAGGCAGAGGGATAAATGGGTGGTGAGCCTCGTCTTTCTAGCTCTCAGATCTCTTGCTTTGTGATGGTCGCACCAGGGTGCAGCTGCCTTAGCAGTTCTCTGCGTCAGCTTGCAAGATTGACTTCATACAAGACATCCCCAAGGAGAAGCTACATGGACCTATCCCGATGCAGCCCTGGGTGCTGGAGCAGCCATGTGGAGACCCCTGTGGAGATGCTTATTCGTTCACTGACTCAGCTTTCCTCCTGCAGTCAGCATCATTGCCTCTGTTTTGTGAGGTGGAGGACTTTGTGGACTAGTGTTGGGTTAATGGGTTAATGTTGAACTTGTGGGCTTGGGCAGTATTAGGTTGGGATGTTTTCGTGATGCACACTTTCTTTACATAAAACTCTCTTATACATGAGTTGCTGTGGATTTATTTCTCTAAAGTACCTAGACTGATACAACATTTTTAAAAAAGAAAAAGTTTTACCTCATCAAGCCGCGCTCTTGTGGAGAACTGATTTGTTGTTCCCATGACCATGTGGGCTATAGAAGGCGAGCCCAGCTCAAACCTAGAAACAGAAATTATTAAAGTGCATTGTGAAAAACTTAATATCTTTAACATGTATTTAGAAGTGCCTCACAGTGGGGTCCGCATGGGAGAAATAAAAGACATAATCGCCACCCTCCGATGGGTTAAGGTCTAGTCGTGAAAAAATTAAGATCCACACAAACAGCTGAATGAAAGGCTTGAGTATCTGTGGTGGGTTGCATGGCGCCCCCACCAAAAAAAAGCTGTGTGGGTAGCTAATTCCCAGAACCCATGAATGTGATCTTATTTCAGGGAGGGGGATTTTCAGAGGGAATTAAGTCAAGAATCTCAAGATAAGATACTTCTGAAATCAGGGTAGGCCCTAAATCCACTGGCAAGTGTCTGTAGAAAGAAGAAGAGGAGACAGAAGCAGGGGTGGGTGTCAGACAGGCACAAGCCGGGACTGCTCAAACCACCACCCAGTGGAAGAGGCCAGGAGAAATTGGCCACTGAGAACCGTGGGAGGAGGCTGGTCCTTGTTCAGACTTCGGGCCCCTAGACCTGTGACAAGAACACGTGTGTGGTAACCTGCTGTGGCAGCCACAGGAAACAGCAGCAATGCCCCAAAGAAAATGAGAGGTAGTAAGGGCTCAAAGGGTTAGCAAAAGGCAAGTTCAGGCCAACAAAGCGTTCATGATGGATGTGGGCTGAGCTGAGGAGGGGGACTTCAAGCAGACTGGTGGGCACTGATAGGGAAGTTTGCAGGGGGAAAGGGGAAGAATCCTGTCCAGATCCACGCGTTAGCGTTAAATGAGAGTGGTTTCTTTGTTGTTGTTTTTCTAAAAATCCAAAGATGTTTCTGGCACTTCTATTTCCTATCTTTAATTTTCAAAATCCTTTTAGACGGTTACTAAAGCACAGCAAAGTTAAGCAGTTCCCAGTTACAGAATAATGTTGGCAGAACTTACTTTTGTACGAGCTTATTCCAGTTTTCCTTCAGGAACTGCCAGGCCAAAGGGTACCCCACTGGATTCCTGCCAATAAGACTAATAATACTTGGAAACTCTTGCGTTTTTATGATGTCTCCTTTAAAACTCTGATCTAATAGCCTAGGATGATTCAGAGAAGACACGTTAGCAATGAGTATGTGGTGAATAACTTGGGAATGACTGCAATAAACTAATCTGTGGGAAGAAAATAAAGAACAAAAACACTCAAGCTGCTGATAATAAAGACCAACACGGTGAGCTAGGTAAGCAGAGCTCCGATAAACCCTTAATTCCTACATACGAATCGAAACTAGCATTCACTGAGTAATGACAACACCCACACTCATTAGTCTTTCATTTGCTAAACAAAACAAATGGAGAATTATATCGCTAGTAAACATGTCTGAGTATTTCAAGATTCTCAAAGATGTATTCATTGAATTACTTCCCCTAACACTGCAATTCTGACTCCTGGGGGCCACATACGTTTCAGAGAAGAACGGGCTTGTGGCTACAAAACAGGCCATTCCCTGCTTCTGCCTCCTCTTCTCTCCTCTGTCTTCTTCTTTCAGAAGTAGGGAGCCAGGTGTTTCTTCAAAGGCACCTCTTCCAAGCAATCAACCTTTCAGTGCGTAGCTGACCACTTAACCACGTGCACCATGCCACCACTGATACGCCCGACCAAACCCACGGCCACGAAGTCCATTCTGCCTCATTGTGACCATGCAGGCTGTCTGACTGGTCTATATAGTAACTCTGTACAGTAAGTCTCCATGGGAGCAGTGTCAGCTTTCTCCAGAGGAGCAGCTGGTGGCTTTGAACTGCCGACCTCGTTGGTTAGCAGACAATGCTTGCCAGACACTGCCACCAGGTGTCCTGGCACACAGACCTCCCACATCCCTGAGCTGTGTACCCAAGAGAGTAGGTAGGTCCTAACCCAGGGACCTACCCTGGCAGAATGAGCTGATCTAATGTAATTTCCCTCGGCCACACGAACATGTATGAGTTACTCACCACTGCAACTTTTCCTTATTTGGGCTCATACAAAGGGCAAATTCAATGTGGTGTTTCTCAGTACTGGACAAAGATGACTGATATTTACTATACAGAAATTCCCAGCCTTCGGTGTTCTGGGCCCCCACAACAAATACTGCCAAGGTCACGTCTTTGGGTAAGCTGTGGAAAACAACATCCCCGGTCAGAGGCTGAGATGCAGCAAGTGTATTGAGATGCCCAACAGTGACAGCGGGGAACCCCCATGATCACAGAAGCATACCTGCACCTACATGTAAACATTATTCCTCATCAGTTATGTGTTATGAAAAGCAAGAGGAAATGCTCTAAAGTTTAGGTTTTAAACCACTTCCCTGTGAAATGACACTTTTATAAATACCCGCATATGTACAAACGTCCATGATTCTGCGTTTAGTGGGTTGCTCCCTAATTGGTCATTTTTCAGGCCCAAAGAAAGAAATTCAAACTAAACTCAAGGTTTGGCATAAACTCATGGAACAGAAACTCAATAGGAGTAGATTCAACTGAATTTCAGGGCAATAAAGAGCAGGCTCTTCCCTCTGGGGGCTTATAGAAAGGCTCCTCCAACCTAAGTTCTACCCATTGCCAGGCCTTATATTTCCCAGGTCTGTGTCTAAAAGAGGTTCCTATGGGAGCAAGGGTTTCCTCTGCCAGGATGAGGTCGCTGAGTTGGATTTAAGGACCGCAGCATCCCTTTAAATGGAAACACTTACATTGTTGGCACAGCTGTTTCCTAGGTGGGATTTAAGCTCCAAATGCTGATGGGCTGGAGGGCAGCAAGGTTTCCCAATAGAATAACACCCTAGCTTGCTTGGACAGGGTCACCACTTACTGTTTACCTCTCGCTAACACTTTAGAAGTCCACAAAAGCTACTTTAAAAATTATCTATATAAATATCTAGCACATAAATATTACAACATTTGCCAATTCAATGGGTCTCCTCCCGTGCTATTCGGTGATGCCAATTACATGACTCATGCCCTGCAACCATCCCCAATCATTGTTGGCGAATTTTCCACCACCGGAAAGAGATCATCGATGTCTCCTAAACAGTGGCTTATGGATTTTAAGATGAACTGCCCCGGCCAATTCCTGTAATTGCTGTCTGTGGACCTATAAAAAGTTCCATTGGCAATCATGATATGACATGTCTACAACCACAGGGAGAAATCCAACGGCTCAACAAGAGTGGTGGCTGAGGCTGCTCTCTGCACCCCAGCACCTGACGGGGTTCGAGTCTTAGGTCTGGAGGTGTAGGGTCATGGTTCATTGGATATCTCCGCTGACTGACTTAGTAATGTTCTACCTCCTGGTTCATTGTGTAGGGTCTACAGTCTTTAAAGCTTACAAGTGCCCATCATGGTGCGATTGCCTGAAGCAACAGAGGAAGAAAGGGAGTCAGAAATAGGAGGAGGGCATGAAATGCATGGATAATTAACAATTGCCCTTCTTACCATAAGACCAGAATTAAGTGATGGTGCCTGGCAATCATTACTGAACATCTCGACAAAACATTCTAGAGAAGGATTCTGATCAAAAGTGGGAAAATGCCTAAGCAAATTTCAGATTCTCATAGATTCCAGATTGTCTGGAGCCATGGACACTGTCATGAAGCCCGGAAACTCTTGCCCTGAGATCATCTTTAAGCCTTAAGCCAAAAATATCCTCATGTCTTTGATGCAAAACCAAACAGTAATTCAGCTTCACAGGTAATGAATGGCTTCCTTGAGCATTGTGCTATTTGAAGACTTAGATGAGAGCAAATTGACAACAGCAATTTGAATGATTAGATAGGTGTTTATGTTTATGAGGGAAGACTAGCTCAGAAAACGAGGGTGAGAATAGAAACGTTGTTCAACTCCAAGACTGCAGCCCACATCACCAGATTATATGCTCTTGAATTGGAGTATGCTCTGTTGCATATTCTCTACATCAAAAAATAATTTTTTTAAAATATGAGAAAATGCATTGCCTCTTCCTGTCCTATGTGCCCAGCTTTGTCCTGATAAGGCTGTGTACCTGCACTATATAAAGTGGGGATAAATGTTTTCTAAGCCTTCAGATATGTGACTTTGCACCCAGAAGTTTCTTGCGTGCATTTCTTAATGAAAGGGAAGTGAGGGATACATAGGTAAACCTTACAATGCAATTCATATCCCCCATCCCACCCCAAAAAAAGGGCAGCAGGGGAGACCTGTCTATATTTGCTTTTTCTCCAAACATTTATGCACTGTTGATGGAAACAGAAAAGACAGCCTTCACATGATCTGTTCAATGTGGACAGACCTCAAATTTCCATTGGACTCCTTCCACTCTCTGAAATAGCCTTCTGCCCTCTGCACACATGGCTGGTACTTGCGCACACAAGCAAGGAGGAGCAGCTGACTCCGAAGCATCCGTTCCGAGAGGGAGCCCTCGTCTGTCCAGGTCTGCTTATCGATGAGGCCCCGTAGCAGCCTGAGGAGGAAGGCCTGTGGGCATCGCACAGGGAGATTGGTCATGTGTCACCGATCCTGCCCTGGTCATCTCACGCTCAGTGTGCCCACTTGGCGCTGGTGGCTATTTTTAACAGCGTAACCTCAGTTGTTTTGAAGACAGTTCTGTTTATAGTTCATGATCAAAGGACTCAAACGAAGCAATCATGATGGATGGTTTTAATATGTACATAACATGATTTTCTGAGGATCCTTATCTGCTTACATCTGGATGAGCTGCCGCTTTAAAATCAGATGACAAGAGACAGTCTATATAACCAAATGTTGAAAGTAGATTATGTCACAGGACTTTATGAGATTTTGCCACCTTTGTGCTTCTCTCTCAGTATGAGTACCAGAACATTCTTAATGTTCACCATCCAAGGACAGCAGTAAGATGAATTTGAACAAGGAAGGTAATCATGAATGTAAGAATAATAAGGACCACCTTTCCCCTGGTTAAGAACATCTAACTTACGTATAACCCATACAAACCAATCCCTGCCAAGCCTCTTACATTAAAAATTCAAGGAACACATAATTGTTTGTGATAACAAACAGGGCAGTGCTTTGTGATGCCAATCAAAGCATCATCATCATTGTACTACATAATGTAAAGATGTTTCTGTGTTTCTGGGAGTATTTATTAGATAGCTTTTGTGAATACAAAGACCCACTGTATTCTAACACAAACACATGACTGACATTAGACATAAACCTACTTTTCCAGCTTACGTATAAATTCAACTTAGAGACAGATTTTAAAATAGAACTCAATTATAATCCAGGGATTGCCTGTACAGAATCTAACAATGCCAAGCCTATTTTCAGTGCCAAAATAAAATATTGAATCTATGCTAATCAATTCAAATACTAAATTAATTTTCATTTGCATTTCTTTAATATAGAGAAATATGTATACAATGGTAAGAACTTTTTTACATATAGAAAAACAAGCCACAGTTATATAACTACCCAGTATATTTTAGGCTCTTACCTTGAACTGAGTTTCTACTTCATTCATATCTCTTTTCTCCATCAGCTTATACATAGGAATCAGTTCGTGTATGCCTTGGAACACAGGCATAATTTCTGTTTCATGTTTCAAATACAGGGATAAATCCAAGGCTTTTTCAATGGGGAGCTTCCCAATGCTGACCAACAGACACCATGATGAGAAATTTACAAGGAAATGCAAGAAATCAACTGTTGGCTTCCAGAGATAGGATAACTTTCATCCCACAAAGCATTCAATCCAGTATAAACGCCCCTCCAAAGTACTGACTTTCGTACTGGGAGCTCTTCTGTTACACATAAAAACATTCTGCTGTGGAGGAGGTTTTACAACTATTCATGGAACCAGAGTGAATTTGGGATTATAGCAGCACGGAAGCAAATGAGTGCTTGTCCTAGAAAACGTTACACTGTGCCTTGAACTTCCAGAGTAAGAAGGGGATTTCTATCAAAGATGCTTCCGGAAGCCTGGCTGGGAAAATTGCCATTCAGGCAAAAGCATAAGCCCAGGAGTAATCATATCCTCTTCTCCCTCGTGAGAAGAAGCTGTTTAGATATGGTGTGAAAGCCTTGCTGATATAGCAGGCTTACCTAAGTACACACAAAACACTCTGAGATTTAAGTAGAAATATACTGGACACCCAAACCCACAGGACCGCCGGGACTCCAGAAATAGGCTATGGAGGGACGCGTTTCTAGGCTGGCAGAAACAGCGAGACAAGCAACTCCTCTTTCATTTGTATGGTCCCCGCATGAGGGCACCGTACAAGACCAGACGGGTGCACTCACTGTTCAGGCAGGGGGCTGTTGGGTGTGAGTAGACTACGACAGAACGACCTCGCCCACTGGAGGGCTCCCCTTAGAACTTCTGTTCTGCCTAATCATTGACTGAAGAAGCGGATGGTTTAGACGTGGGGACACTTCTTTAAGAACCATTGTCATTGGAGGGGGAAAATGTTTTTGGGATCGTGTTCAAATTAACCTCAAGCACTTGATGGTCATTTATGAGCTGTTGTCCTTAAAAATGTTGTCAAGCACAAGCAGGCAGTTTAGTGGGGGGCGAGCCTCTCCTTTAATCCAAGAAACAAAATGTAAACAACATGGGCTGGACCGTGCTGTCCTATGAAGTCTTCAAGGTTACAGTATTCTAACCAAACCCACTACCATTGAGTCAATGCTGACTCCTACCCACTGCCGTCAAGACGATTCCAGAGCATTGTGACCGTGTAGCACAGAGGAGAGCTGCCCCTGTGGGTTTCTGAGACAACACCTCTACTGGGCAGAAAGCCTTATTGTTCTCCTGCAGAACGGCTGGTGGGTTCAAATCTATACACCACCAGGGCTCCCACTCAGTGAGCCTAGCCTTCAGGTTTCCAAGAGTCTAGGCGATTATCCAAAAGGTTCTGGTCTCCTAGGTTTCTCCTCTTTTGCCTCAACCTGATTCAAACTGCTAGTGATAGAGAGTAAAAGGCGGGCCCTTCCCTCCAAGCTCTATAGCTGCCATGGACAGGAGGTTAACTGTAGGCTAAAAGCTACCTTGATTTATTAGAAGAGTTTAGAAGTAAACACCCATCCATTTACTAGCAATCAATCATTTTGATCTTCAATGGGGGAAGGACCTTGAACAATAGCAAATGCTTTCGGGATTACAGCAGAATTGTATCATTCCTTGGTACAGAAGTGGTACCTGACAAGCTGAAAGGCATTGTTGATGAGACTGGCCCGGTCGTTACTGCTGATGGCTGAGTGTGTTCCTTTTAAGAGGCGAGTCAAAGAATCCCATCCCTCCTCCTCGTAATGCACGATGTAATAGCCATTCATCCCTGCGTTAAATTTGATCCATTCCACCTCTTCTGGGAGGACGAGCACATCTATTGGAAATAAAATCAATCACCGCTCTGTTTGCTTTCCTGACAGATAACGGCAATTCCACTGCAGAGTCTGAACAAGAAACCCGAAGAAGAGGTTTTCACACTGAACACTTTGAAATTATCCATGGTTTATTCTAGAAACCAGACAGCAGCAACCCAATGCCTAAAAACCAGCATGGGCTTCAGACAGCAACTTGGGGCGCTTATGGGGATGGGGGGAAATGGAGCCACCTCTCCAGCCATCCACATGGTAGAAGCCAGCCATGTTAACGAATAACGACACATTTTTACTAGAAATCCCTCCTTTTTACCATTACAGAACTCACTTGTTTAATTTATACTTGGGCAGAGACTGGTCTTCTTCTTTGTTGTTTTTTGTTTTTACGAGGAGACAGTGTTTTCAACCCCACTTTCTTCGATGGAAAAAACAAGGCAAAGATTGGTTTAAAATAAAGATGGACCCTATCCCTTTGGGTTGGACAGATACACAGCAAAAGAACGACGTTTTAAAATTCTGCCCATTCCCACCATCCCTTCCTGAATTCTCCTGGCTGGTCCCCACAGAGGGTTTTGCAGGCCTGATCTTCACAGCAGCACGCAGCCTCATCGTTCTCCTGTGGGGAGTGGCTGGTGGGTTTAAACCACGGACCATGAGGTTAGTAGTCCCAACGCTGACCCAATGGCACTACCAGAACTATTTTTCTTTTGGTGGGGGAGAAAGGGGGGTTGTGATTCCCACAAAGGATTACCTGTTTTTGTCTTCAGCAAAAACTTTTGGACCGAGTCTGATTTGCTGGTAATGAACGTCAATGGGATGTGCCACAGTTGTCTAGAGAGAAGAGGGATGGCTTGTGGGTGTGTTGATCCAAGGCAGCAAGTGGTATCAGAGCACTTGTAGATGACAGGTGGGCGCTAATTTAGGAGCAGATGTTCCCCAAGCCTTCACGACCTAGAGCTCCGAACAGCAGCGGTCTGCCTGCAGCCTCGTGGGTGGGGGCTCCCGCTAGGCAGCATTCGTCCTCACACACTCCTCGGAAGCTGGCGTCAAGGGAACCCAAGACGCCTTTTCTGGGACAGACTGATGGGGGCTGAGCGAGCCTAACTTGGAAATAGTAACTGACCACCAGCTGTTGGACAAGTGGACGTCACGTGGCTCCTGAAACCACATCCCAAGGAGGACACAACATCACGCCTGTGGAATTGCTGCCAACCGTGCACTGCCTGAATCTGATCGGGGAGAAGCCTCTGAGGGCCAGGCATTCTACAAAACCATGACACCCTGAAAAATGTCAGGGTCAAGAAACACAAGGAAAGACTGGGGAGCTGCTTCAGGGAATAAAGGAGACATGCAGGCTGAAAGTCATATGGGTGTCAAATCCTCAACCAGATTAGTCCTTTTCCTTTTCCCCTAAAGAGACTATTAGGAAAACTGGAAAGGAAAAAAAAAAAAAGCTAAGTATAGGCTACAGATAGGATAATAGTACTGTAGCATGTCAAAACTTAATGTTGATCATTGCACTGTGCTTGCATAAGTGCATGTTCTTGATTTTTTTAAAATATCATATGGAGAATTCTAGGGTATAAAGGAGTATCATGTCTCCAATGTATATGAAGCAGTCCAGAAAAAAATGATATAGACTTACATAAATAAATAGAGAATACTAAAAAAAAAATGTGGTGAAGAGTTAACATAGACCTGGGTAAGAGATATATTAAACCTCCGTATACTATTCTTGCTGTATCTCTGTAACACGGAAATTAAATCAAAACAAAACATGTTTGCTTGTTTGTTTATGTCCTTCAGGGTCAATCACATTGTGGATCTTTAATCTTTCTGCATCTTGTCCTTCCTATAGGCGTGAAGCTGACAAATATGTCCCACAGAAGAGAATTGCTCTCTCCTAATTCTCAAATCCTCGAAACATTTACATCCCTCCTTCCAACCCAAATGCCAATCTCCAGAGCGAGTAGCCATTTCTCAGTCTGAGGCCGATTGCAAGGCAGCAACCTAAAGAATGTCGTCCCCTCACTAGAAAGTATGGAACTGTTCAAATAACTCCACGTCATTCGCTTTATGAAGGTAACCCACGTTTAGATCCATTGCAAGCCTTTTGGGAAGCTGTTGGGGCCTAAGTCACATTCAGAGGCTATGTAGATTCCATTGAGATACTTTGTGATCAAGGTAAGGAGGGACATTATTTCAGAGACAGTGTTTCAGTCTGCAAGGCAGATGTTACTCTAGCAGAGGCCACGTTACCCGGTCCCCGGGGCACCGTCTGATCCCTTCATGTAGTGCTCTTGCTGCATGTGAACGGTCCTCCCTTGCACTGTGATGGTCACCAGGGGAAAGCCCTTCTGCAGCGTCCAGGTGTTCATCATAGTCTTCACGTCGAGGCCTTCCTGACGCCAGTGCTGGGGCACACACAAAAAGCGGGTGAATCACCTGCTCGGACCCAAGGTCAGAAAGGAAGGAACCCCAGCCTGCTCCCAGGGCACAACCTCCTCCTCAAGACTCTTCCTGATCCCTCCCCCTGTGAAAACCGCTCTCTATCCCACTGGCCCAGGCG